ATATATATATATATATATATATATATATATATATACATGTAAGAGTTCCAACAACAACTAGAGAAATAAAATTTCTATATAAGTATATAACATTATATAGTAATCTAGATATTAAATAACCATCCAATATATAACTAATACAACTACACAAAGAAACTCCAAAAGATTAGATCTGCCATCCAACATGGCCTCCGAAGGACTCCATTTGAAAAATATATTCATACACTGCTCTCATAGAAAGTAAGATCATTGTAATTCAACCACATAGAAACATGCAACAGTAAACTAATATTCAAAATAAATCAACATATATAAATAGTTTAAATGTAAAAGAAACTATACTATAAACATAAGCAACTCAATTTGCTTCACATAGTATCAATTTACAACTTTTCAACACAATACAATATATTTTTCAACTTGTGCAACACAACAATAACACGTCATCACAATTTAAGTTAGTATATGAACAACACAACTCAGTCAACATATTATGTGCATAATATAATAACTATATGTGTCGTCACATATTTCAACTAGGAAATCTCCTACAATACAAATGAGCAATTTAAGTGATTTGGCTCTACCAAACCAACAATTCAATTTTTTCAATCTAGTTAGATCAAAAATCAATTTGGATAAAATGCACAACATAACATAGTTTCTCATATATCGTCACTTAAACTAAAAAAACCTATTATTTTTGTTAGGATATAATAATTTGAGTTTGAGTCTACCACGATATTAACTAACATAACTAAGTCACTTATGAGAGTAACTCGTCAACTATCCTATAAATACCACACTTTTCCCGTACTTAGAGATTTTGGCCCTCAACCTTGTACTTTATTTTAATTTGGTCACTTTATACATGTATGTCTCAACCTTGTCCACATATGGATCAACAGTGGTCACTTGTAGTTAGTATGCCTCACCTCAACCACATACCGCATCAATTAAGGTTGTAAAGAAAACTCAAATATCCACTTTAAAAGTCAACTTCCCAAAAATGTTTTTTCAACAAATTAACTGAGTTTTTAAAGCATCACAACACAATATTCTCACAATGAGATATGCAACTTTAAAAATAACTTCTTCTCCGGTCATAGATCATCAACACAATACAACTTTAATGTCAAAACATTTTCAACACAACTACTTAACTAATTAAACAACATAAAACTTGACTCGACTTTCAACCATTTAATCAACGTACTACACCAAGGTATAAGGATTCAACATTATGTATCAGCACATGGCATATAGTATAATTTAACCATCATATAACATGTAATAGATTCACGTACCTATTCATGTTCACCATATCATGAATCAAATAACAAGAATTTTCAAAATAAACCACGTTTGGTACTATTAAGGTAGGGAGCTCTTTGTCTCACCCACGCTCGGTGTCATTTAACTCACGTCTGACATGGATGAGGTAAAAAATCCCTAAGACCTCACACCTAGAGTAAAAAAAGCCACGATTGACATGTTAAAGGAGACAATGTGAAAGCCTTATGGAAGAAACTCGAAAACATTTATGCATTTAACTCACTAACTAATCATTTATGTTTAAAGATGAAGTTATATTAACTCAAAAGGGAGATTAGAGAAAATCTTCATATCAAATTAATAATTTCAATCAATTGATATATTAATTGTCAAATGCAAATGAAAGAATATGTGATCAGAAGCAAGCAATGTTGTTGGCTTCACTACTAAAGTTTTACTTATCTTTGGTTCAAATGTTGTTTATAAGGAGAACATTGTTAAAATTTGATGAGATGACTATCACTCTAAAAAAAATAAGAAAATGATGGAAAAATAAAAATATTAATATTAAAGATATGTATTAGTCGTGCACCATGGTGAAAAAAGGGCAATAAAAAACTCAAATGTTCAATCACGTTTGAAATGAGATGAGTAATGTGCAATACTTTTATTTTTTATTTTTTACTTAATCAATTTCTTTTCTAAAAATTATATAATATTAACCAAATTTATTTATGAGAGTAATATTTTTAAGCATAATATTCCGGTAGATATAATATTATTTCTTAAAACCAAATGTCTCTTTATTTTTTGGAAATTATTTTATAATTTTTTTAAAATATAATATTTAGAGAGTAATGATACATGTATTAAAAAAAGTGTACAGCATTATTTTTGTATTTATCTTTTTTATCACTTTATTTACTATGAAAAATGATATTTATTAATGATAGAAAAACAATTATAAAAGTTATGATTGTACATGTAATATTATTTAATATTATACTAAGTTTAAACAAAAGTGAATTTAAATGCTTCAATTGTATAAGATCATATGAAAAATTAGGTATTATGTAATTTTATATATTATGTAGCATTACCTGTTATGATATTGTATTGTTATCCTCCCGTTACAAATTTTAGTGGGACAAAATATTTTTGCCATTCGCTTATGGGTCTACCGGAACCGGAAATTTTAATTAGTCTTTGGCTCTTTGCTAGATAAAAGTATATTTAATATTAATTTTCCCGAACATCTGAATAAAAAGAAAAGGAAACAAATGAGTTGATTGCAGGAGGAAGGAAGGAAGAGAGAGAGAGATTTTGGGGTCAAGCTAATTAAAGCAGATCTAGATGGCTGACACAATTTATCAGTTTAAACAACATTATTTATAACTATTAGGAATCATTTTTAAAAAACCAATTATTGATTAGTTTAAAATTTATTATAAAAATAAAATTATTTAAAATTTTGTGTACCCCAAATTAAATTATCATATATATATATATATTAATTATAGATTATAGGTGAAAAAAAAACTATACAATTATTTTATCTTTTTGATATATCATGTTAGTATTTTCTTACTCTTATTTATTGGTGTTAATATAAAAATTAGAATATTATAAAATTATCACCGACGGTTTCCCATCATTTGATTGTACGAAGGCCTGTCAACTTCGCAGGTTGAGATGAACAATATTTTTTTAATGATAATCTTTATATAATAAATAAATTTATTTTTTATATTTTCTTTTATTTCATCTTTAAAACATTATTTGGTAGAAAAAATTGAAATAATGAACGATATAATTATCTTTTTAAAAAGCAGACACGAAAAAAAAAATTACCTTAATATATATATTGATATGTATTTCAGAATTGTATTTAATTTAGAAAAACGTTTTTACATTAATATTTGTATCTATATCTTTATTAATAATTATAAAATATTACATTTAATTTAATTTAATTTGTATTCTTAACATTATGAGCTAATTCAATTTAAAAGTACCGATAATAAGTCATGTGAATTAGATGGTTTATAATAGTTATTTTAAGCAACATATCATATTAGTGTTATATGTTTGAAGCAGAGATGGCATCATCTAACTTAATTTAAAGTGTAGAATAGATAGGAGAAAAAGGATAAGACAAGTAGTAGAAGGGGTTAAGTGGGAAGCGACAGAAGAGGAGAGTAATTAGAGTATGGGTTGTGGCGGAGTGCAGGTATTGATCTTAGTGTTTTTATGGAACGTGTCATTGGGATTGGGAGGGTGCGATAAGGCTCCGCTGGTGTTCGTCTTCGGCGATTCCAACTCGGACACGGGTGGACTCGCCTCCGGACTCGGTTTCCCCATCAATCTTCCCAATGGCCGCACCTTCTTCCGCAGATCCACCGGCCGCTTGTCCGATGGTCGCCTCGTCATCGACTTACTCTGTCAGTATCACTATTCGCATTCTCATTTCTTTCACTTTTGCTAACTTACTCAACAAACACTATTTCAAATTCATAATGCATAATGCATAATGCATAATGCATAATATTCTCACTAGATCCTAATTCACTTCTCACTAGAAACAAACCAATATTCTCGTTGATGGCGATTGAATTAGGGAATTTCCAAATAAACAACTTTGATTTTTCGGTGATTTATAGTCGAAAATTGTTATCAATATCACAAGTACACTCTTGTGTGTTTACCAAGAATTAGATTTTAATTTTCAACAGTCTTGTGTTTATGTTTAAGTCAAAATAGTAAGAAATACTACTTCTTTCTGGGTGTACGAATAGTAAAAAGTAATTGTGTACAAAGTATTTTAATATATTAAAAGCAATTTGGGATGCATGTTTCATACTTGATATCCAAATATGCGTCAATCTGAAAATATTTCCCTTCCAAAATTTGCAGGCCAAAGTTTGAATGCAAGTTTGTTGGTACCATACATGGACGCTTTGTCTGGATCATCATTCACAAATGGGGCAAATTTTGCAGTGGTGGGGTCCTCTACCCTCCCAAAATATGTTCCTTTCTCCCTAAATATACAGCTCATGCAATTCCAGCATTTCAAAGCCCGTTCGCTTGAACTTGTTACCGCAGGTAAATTTCCTTTGCTATCTTACTACCTTAACTTAGAGGAAAGATTTAAAAATAAATTGGCATCCATTCTCAACCGTCAACACTGACTTTGGATACTTAGTAAAGCTTTTATTATCTGTCACATTTTTCTCTGATACTTAGTTTGAGTTCGGATCCCTATTATTAATGTACCAAAATTTGTCTTGTTCAAAGAATGGAGTCTGATTCATGCACACAACATGAGTTATCACATTATTGCCATTGCATTGGAGTGAATGTTGTGTGTAAGAATGAACTGATAACACTGCAAATTTATATGAATTTATGAATTGGAGTTATCGCAAAAGTTCAACATTCATTTATGAATTTGTATGTTAGAATGAACTGATAGCACTGCAAATTTACATAGGTGCAAGAAATTTGATCAACGATGAAGGCTTTCGGAGTGCACTCTACTTGATTGATATTGGGCAAAACGACCTTGCTGATTCATTTGCCAAAAATCAGTCATATGCCCAAGTCACCAGGAAGATTCCAGCATTTATAACTGAAATTGAGACTGCTGTTAGGGTCAGTCCAGCGTTCTTCAAATGTTTTTAGTAAACTTGCTCTTTGTTTAGAATTGGCGATTAAGGTTACTAGAAGGGGCTGAGTGTAATCATAAAAGTGATCCTATGCCCTTGCTTATCCTTTATGACCAAATAATTTCTTAGAATTTATTTACCTTTTATTGAGTGTTTTATCTGCATAGGCAAATGGTTTCTTTGGGTTCATATTGTGTGCTTTGAAATTTTCTTTATCAGAATTCAATAGATTATATATAAGAGGGATTAGAAATGTGTTCGTAACTAGTACATTGTCCTACAAAAATCAAAATCACAGTGAAAAAGTGCTGGAGGATACAAATTGCAGAACCTGCGATGCCAAAAATAGTTAGCAAAAAAAAACAAGTCTGAGATAGTGAGATGCATTAGATGTTGTACATTTAACTGCCCTCCAAGATTTAACAGACCCTTATGGTGACAAGCTAACAACCCTCCAAGATTTAACCGTGATCAAGTAACTAGGTTTTTGCTTCTTTAGTGTTTGCCCTTTATTGAAATAAGCTGCAACTATGATCTTGGGTGCATTGATGGAAACATGGGTGGTGTACAATGATCGTATTTTAATTTCTTCATTGATTTTTATTTCTCCTTCTTAGAGTGTGATGTTTTCCTTCTCTATTCTTATTGCAGAGTTTATATAATCAAGGTGCAAGGAAGTTTTGGGTTCACAATACCGGGCCATTGGGTTGTCTTCCAAAAATACTTGCACTGGCTAAGAAGAAGGATCTGGATTCATTAGGATGCCTTTCTAGTTATAACTCTGCAGCAAGGTTGTTCAATGAAGCGCTGCTTCATTCGAGTCAGAAACTAAGAACTGAACTGAAGGATGCTACTTTAGTCTATGTTGATATTTATGCCATTAAACATGATCTCATCACAAATGCCGTGAAATATGGTAATCCAAGCAAGCACTTTCTTCTCATTTAAGTAATTATTATTTGACTCATTCTTATGTTTCTAATCTAATCAAGCTTTCCTGACTTTCACTCCATATATTATGATAACATAATTGGCAATTTTAAAGGGCTATATATATTTGATGCATACTCTTATTATTATCATAATTTTGATGGTAAATGCATTATTGATTAGGTTTCTCAAATCCGTTGATGGTGTGTTGCGGCTATGGAGGGCCTCCTTACAATTTTGACGTAAGGGTGACATGTGGTCAACCTGGTTATCAGGTTTGTAATGAAGGGTCTCGCTATGTGAGTTGGGATGGAATTCATCACACTGAGGCTGCAAATACGTTGATAGCTTCTAGGATACTTTCCATGGCTTATTCCACACCACGGACACCTTTTGATTTCTTCTGCCACCACTGATTATGCACCTTGTTTGTTTACCATGTTTGTACTTCTCCAAGAACTGAGTTTGTCATGTTGTCACGCCCACGCTGAAGCTCTAAAAAATTAGAGCCAGTTGGGCTGTAACTGACCTATGTTGCAGGAAATTGGTTTTTATTTCCCAACTGGGATGTATTTTGTATTATTATGTAAACAATTAAGACGCAAATGAATGCATTTTTGGCTATGACATGTTAATACTAATATGCGAATTCCAACAAATTAAGCCACTATACTTGGTAAAATAGAATATATAAAAAATGAAAAATACTTGGTAAAATAGTTAGGTTACTGTTTATTTATGAGGTTTAATTTTTAGTCTTGTGTATGGAATATGCCTTGTATGAAATAGTAAAATTCACTTCTATAAACTTCCTGTCTAGAAAGAGATTTGTTTGGGTCAGCTTTGATATACATTTATTAATAGAACATATCTTACAATAATTTATACAATAATATTTTTCTTTTTTTAATTATATTATATATCTTTTCTCTCATTATTGTATATTTTGTATATTTTCTTTTTTATTATATTATACACTTTTCTCTCATTATTGTATAATTTATTATACAAATAACATTTCTCGATATGAATGAAGAATTGGTTGTTACCATAAAGTTGATGCTAATATTTTTATTTTTAGAATCACACTGACATGGATAAGAAAATGAGTAACCATTTTACTAATTTCTCTTTCAGTCACATTTTTTATTCATCATATCCAAACGAATAACTCAAACTTAAGTCGTTGGTAAGAAACAGAATAATCATCTTTAATAGGATTTTTGTTTGAAACACATTTTGTATTCATTATACTGGAATTTAAAATTTTGCTTAAAAAATTTAAACTTAATTTCACTCGAACCAACCTTGATCTTTGTGGGTAACAAGGATAATATCATAAATGGGTTTCAACAATTAAAGAATCTATTTTTATCAATTTTTAGAATAACTTCAATGATATACCAGCTATAAAAATAAAATATTCTTTTAATGTTTATTGTAATATAGTCGCAGAATATCGTACAATTTATTCATGATTATATTAAATAGAAATTAAACTTGGTCTAATTCACCATCTGAAAGTTTATAAAATTTTATATATTTATATTAAATTTTGTTAAACTTAAACAATAACTTCAAATTAAAATATTTATATAAGAATAAAATATGTTGTATTAATATAAAATTTTATATATATTATGAAAGAAAAAGGGTAGTTTATATTGTTAGAGAGCGTGAAGTGAGAGTGAGCTGAAAAGGCGGGAGTAATGGGTATGTGGATGTGGATGGTTAGTTATAATCGGTTACCTTTGAAATCAGATCTAGCACAGGAATGGGTTGTGTTTGTGTGCAATTGCAGCTCCTACTCTTTCTTCCTTTCTTTCTTTCTGCATCGGCTGGATGCGATAAGCCTCCGGTGCTATTCGTCTTCGGCGATTCCAACTCCGACACCGGTGGAGCCGCAGCCGGACTCGGTTACCCAATCCATCTTCCAAATGGCCGCACTTTCTTTAATACATCCTCCGCTCGCATCTCCGACGGACGCCTCCTCATCGATCTACTCTGTCAGTCCCCCCTCCTTCTCCCTTGCATCTTCATACTTCATACTCATTTTCTAAATAAATATTCTTCAATCTCATAACATTTTTCCCTTCAGGCCAAACTTTGAATGCAAGTTTGTTGCTACCCTACTTGGACTCCTTGTCTGGAACCTCATTCACAAATGGAGCAAACTTTGCAGTGGCGGGGTCCTCTACCCTCCCAAAAAATGTTCCTTTCTCCCTTAATATACAACTCATGCAGTTCCTCCGTTTCAAAGCTCGTACTCTTCAACTTGTTACCCAGGGTACATTTCTATTTTATTTCCTCAATTTTTATAAAAATAGATCAAATGTATTGTCTCAACTGTCTTTCTGGCCCTTGTTTTTAGTATTTTACTGCTGTGTTTCTTTTCCTTTGAATGCCATGCATGCTCAACAGTCAACACTGCTTCTCAATAAAGCTTTATCCTGTCATCTTTTTCTCTTAGGGAGAGTTTGTTTCACGGTTTAAAATACTATTCCCGGAAAATTAAATAAAATTTCCATGTTTGTTAAAAGTTTTAAAATCTTATTTCTAAAGTTATCTTATCTTTTAAGCCATTTTGATACTATTACGATGAGGGATGAGGAAGTTATATTATCATAGAAATGTGGAAAGTTATTGTCTAACTTAACTATAACTTTCATTCTAACTTTAATTTTTTATATAATTATTTCAAATTTTAAAATATTCCTAGGAATGTTTAAATTTAATTAAACATATTTTAAAATTTGAATAATTTCCGGGAATAATATTCTTGGTTATATTATTCCTGAAAACATGATTCTCGTGAATATAATATCATTCCATGAAAGAAACACCTCTTAAAACTTATTTTGAGTCCTAACCCCTATTCACGTACCAACCTACTTAATTCTCAGTTTTATCTATTTAATTTGTATTAATCTTTTTTTATTCAAAGGATGTAATCTGATTCATTTATATCAACATGAAGAATCACATTATTGCTATCACATTGGACTGAATGTTATGGTAGGAAAACTACTCAATAAAGTTCATTTACTGGGGAAAAAAGTTCAATATTCATTTATGAATTTATATGTAAAAATAAACTGGTTGCAATGCAATTCTGCAAACTTACGTAGGTGCCAGAAATTTGATCAATGATGAAGGCTTCCGGGATGCACTCTACTTGATTGATATTGGACAAAACGACCTTGATGATGCATTTTCCAAAAATCTATCGTATGCGCAAGTCATCGGGAGGATCCCAGCATTTATAATTGAAATTGAGAATGCTATTAAGGTTAGTCCAGTGTTCCTCAGATTTTTTAGTAAACTTGCTCATTATCTATGAAACTGATAAATTTTCTTTGTTTAGTATTGGTGATTAAGGTTGGTACTTGGTAGAAAGGGCCAAGTGTAATCATAAAAGTGATCCTAACGTTCTTGCCTATCCTTTATGACAATAATTTCATCCTTTTTTTCTAATTCATTTCCGTTTTTAATTGAGTGTTTTCTCTGCATTGGCAAATGTTTGTGTGTATATATAGTGTGTGCTTTGAAATTCTTTGTCAGAATTCAATAGACAATGCATAATAGATAAGAGGACAAGAAAATTGTACGTTACTACTAAATTGTCCACCAAAAATAAAATTCACAGTGGGGATGGTAGTAGTCTCAAAAACCCACTCCACCTAGATGCTGAAACCATGAGCTCACCGAAGTCCAATAGAAAAATCCAAAGGCATCGTGGTTCAAAGACTTTTTCCTGTATTGTGATTATGTATTTTCTGCGTGTTTATAATTTTCATTTCCTAAATCAAGCGCATCCACGTGGATGACTTGCATCACCTGATCATTGTGTCATCTTATTTGAGTTCCGGATCTTTTATTTTAAGAGGGTACCGGTACTACCTTTTCATTTGGTCAAAAGACTCGACCATTTTTATTTTTATTAGTCTCCTTAGTGTTACTCCTTTTTTTTTTTTCCTTCCCTGAATATATTTTCTTGAGTACGAGCCGTCACAGCCTAACAGATGAAGTGTTGGAAGACCCGAATTGCTAAACCTGCAACCACAAAAATAGTCAGCAAAAAGAAAAACTGAGTCGTGTTGCCCGTTGTCCTTAAAGATGCTGTCTCAGCATGTGATAACTCTCCAAGATTTAACAGACCCTCATATAGAAATTATAGAAATTGGAATGCCTGATCTTAGAAAGGAAAACAACTATTCCGAATTTAGAGAATAAGAGAACTCTCAAAATCTCGGACTGAGAATTATTCACACTAAATGAAATTAGAAAAGAAAATACACGTTTATTGTAACGAGCATAAGGCTAAGGAGGGGAACCATCCCTCAAAAGCCGGCCCAAGAGGTTGGAGAACCTCCCGCCTTATAAGGACTCCCTGGTAAGGAGACCTCCCCGATGTGGGACTTGTTACATTACCACCCCCTTCGAAAGCCAGCGTCCTCGATGGCTGCACTCCACGGTACTTAACTCATCGGTACTTCACTCGGAACTCTCGTCCGGTCAGAACCCTCCGATGGTCAGAACCCTCCGTGGGTAGCCCTTCTCGATTTGGCTGGCTCTCAACGAGAGCACCATTGTAACGAGCATAAGGCTAAGGAGGGGAACCATCCCTCAAAAGCCGGCCCAAGAGGTTGGAGAACCTCCCGCCTTATAAGGACTCCCTGGTAAGGAGACCTCCCCGATGTGGGACTTGTTACATTACCACCCCCTTCGAAAGCCAGCGTCCTCGATGGCTGCACTCCACGGTACTTCACTCATCGGTACTTCACTCGGCCCTTGCCGGTCAGAACCCTCCGATGGTCAGAACCCTCCGTGGGTAGCCCTTCTCGATTTGGCTGGCTCTCAACGAAAGCACCATTGTAACGAGCATAAGGCTAAGGAGGGGAACCATCCCTCAAAAGCCGGCCCAAGAGGTTGGAGAACCTCCCGCCTTATAAGGCCTCCCTGGTAAGGAGACCTCCCCGATGTGGGACTTGTTACAGGCCACATCTAAGATTATTTACTGTAATTCATGTAAGGGAGAGAAAGAAATATCTTAATTGTGAGTTCCAGTTTCTAAATTAAAATAGTTAAATTCAGAATAAATTAATTTGACCTAGCTAGAAGGAAATGGACAAACATGGACAAGGACAGAGAAAATTCAGCAAGCTACTTTCCGACCTAAAATTCTTGATATAGTTCAGAGTCTTCGGTTACTTTTTTCCCTATTACTATTTTTATTTATTTATTTATTTGTTGTTGTTGTTGTGTGAAAATCACTCCAAGGTTTCTTGCTTAATTATAAATTCTTACCAAAGTAGATTCTTTTATTAAAGCCTATCTTTGATCAGTGACAAGATTTTTAATTCTTATATAATATCTCATTGCCTTTTAGGATGTGTTTGTGATTTATATTAGAAGGAAGAGTAAAAGAATGAATCAAAGGAGAAAGAATGATGAGTAAATGACAGATGAGAAAAATACTCTGAAACTTATTTGGATATAACCAATTTACAAAGAAAATGAAAATAGATAATAAAATAAATTGAAATTAATTTATGATTAACAAAAATATGAATTTATGCATGATCTTATCATTCTTAATTTTCTAAAAATAAAATAATCAGTTGGTATTTTTTTTTCCTTCGAAACCTTCCTAGCTATCGGGGATGAGGACTCATAAATGTAACAGAGGGTGTTAAAGAGTTTATGGAAAATTCTCGTTTTTATCTTTCTTCTTTTTAGTTAGAAGCTTTATAAAGAAGACAAAGGATTATCCTCAACCTTTTCTTTTGCTTCTTTTCTCTCTAAAAGCCCTACTCCAAACATATATTTATTATTTTTCTTAAGCTTTCGAAAAAGTTAAATTCATGTCAACTAGTTAATTATTGTTCATAGAATGATATGGGAGAACAAAGTCTTAATGGGTGGTCGTTTAATAACAAAAAGAAATTCAGAGATGTCCTAGTCTTGATGATAAAATATTTCAATCAAAAGTCATTAGTAAATCATGGTTGTGTTTAAGTAGGTGGATAAGTAAGCATGGTGACTCAAATTGGATAAAGCTTTCGCTTTTGCTCATGGTTAATTACTTATTAAACTTTGGACTTTCCTGTTATAGGCATGGCCAAAATTTGCGGAGTGGAGAGGTCATTCATATCCCCAATCCCATGTGTATACTCATCACCACTATTTATTTAGTTTTTTTTTATAATCATATTATATGTGTAATGCATCTATATGAACAAAGTTAATGATCAACTACTTATAGTATGGTTTTTCATTTCAATTACATTTTTTTATTCACAAAGATTTAAATAATAGTTTTTGTTTAAATATTTTGAATCTAAGTTCCACTTGAACTAATGTAATATTGGTACTTATTATTTTATTTGTTTTATTGAAAATAAAAAATAAGATGTTAAATTTAAGGGTTAAATAAGCTTTTATTACTTTAATTTTTAAGAATTTGATTTTTAGTTCTTAAACTTTTTTTTCAAATCTGGTTTATTAGGTGATGATGTATATTATTGAATCATATTTACTATTAATCTCATAAGTTTGTTTAATAAATATCAAATCATGCATGTATTTTTTTTTATGGTCATAGAGATGAATAATTGTTTTAAAAACATTTTTTATTTAAAAAAAAAAAAAGAATGTCTAATCATGAATGAATAGAAAAAACAGAATAAGAAAAATAAAAAGAGAGAAAAGAGAAAGAAAGAAAAAAAAAAAAAAATATATATATATATATAATGAATGATGTAATATAATAGAATGATAAAGATTGACAAAATTAAGGTAAAAGTAGCACATATCACTACAAATGTATGAAAATCATTAGCCAAATGAGTAGCACTCTGTTTTTAACATTGTTGTGTTTTTAAAAACTAAACAAGTGTAAAGTAATTATCATTCCACATATTCTACCTTCCATTTTTCGATAGAGCACTAATTTTCATTACACAATATTTCACTCTCTTTTTTTACTTCATTTTTCTCTTTTCTATCATATCAAATATTACATTATCAATATATTGTTTTGTTAAGTGACATTTAATTTAAATTTTTAAAAACAAAATATCGAACTCAAGTATTGTGTATGAAAACATGATTCAGAACAAAAACTTCATTAACATGTTCACACAATAACATGAAAAGGAAGAAGAAGAAAAAAATTACACACATGTTGTCATAGAGCCACACCACATGTTCACACACCTCACAAGCTTGCATTTCTATCTTCTCATCCTATTTCTACCCAAATAATCAACCAGTGAATTTTAAAAACCCGAACAACAGTGTGAAAAAGACAGATTTTCCCCCTGCATGCTGTATCCAAATAATTCTATTATTCAGACCTTACTTTTGTTTTTCCTATAAAACACAAGAGAGCATGGGCTAAAATGCTATTCCCATGATTTGACACTTATGTACACTTTTGTGTCTGTCCAAATTTCAGATGCAGAGGAGTTCAATAAAAACACTATCAAGTGACCCTTTGATTTACGCTTGAGCCGTTTATTCAGACCATAACATAGTTGATGCAGGAGCCAAGAGTTGTTTCTGCTACTTGCAGGCACGTGGAAAATTCTGTTGCTAAAAGATTACGAATAATCCTAAATATGAAAATTTGCATTTTTAATCTTATCTGTCTCAGAAAAAGATAAATCCTCATTGATGCAAAGCTAAATTGAGACGATATTAAGATCTTTTGTATTTTATGTAACCAAATAACCCAAGGAATCACTTTTTTTCTTCATCTTATATTTACTTCAATACTTTTCACATTTCTGCTCAAATTATGACAACATTTGCTGACATGCTCTACATGACCTCCTTCAATTCAGACATTAATTACTTCATTTAAATAACCAAATAGCACAAACTGCATCATAAATCAAACTTTGCTAGCTTTGTTTTTCTTACATTCTCACTTTTGAGAACAGAGTGACCTGTAAAACATTTTGATCTTTTCTTTGTTAGACTTTTGTATAATTTTTTTTTTTGAAATGTCTTGACAAGAATCTCATAATCATGACCCTTGTCAAAAAAAGATGCTCAAGAAAGAATTACGTATCCTTAGGTGAGTTAAGTCAGAATTATCAAGATAATTTCCTAAAAATAATTCTACCCTCATCATAACACTATTGAGTGACTACGGTTTTGTGCATCACATAATATATAATAACCCACTAATTTAGAATCGTACATTGAGAGGGAGGTAGACCTTATAATAAGCCTGCCCAAATGTTACAAAAAAATAATTAAAAACATAATCTCTAAGCATAGGATTTGAGAACATCTTCCTAGTATCTTCCTCCCCCTATATAGCAATACAATTTGCAAAAAGGTATTTAAATAAATTGCAAAAAAGGAAAATTCGGTGGCAAAGGTAGCGTTTTCTTTTCCCCCATTCCTGTACGGCCATTATGTAGATTTTCATGGTATCAAACCACAGCCAAAAAATTAAATTAAATGTTACTATTTAAGGTCTACCTTTAAATTAGCATCTGCCCAAAATTAAATAAATAAATAAATAAAATTCGAACCTTCTAAGTTTCAACTGAGCTTTCGGTTTTTGGAGCGAATCTTGTAAAAACATAAAAAGTTGCTTCTTGTCGATTGGATAAACTCGACTCCGCTGTCAAATTATGATATACTTATGTTATTTTTTAATTAAATTACAGGTCCAAGGAAAAAGTTAGAGATAATTTTATCCTACTCCAGGAATAATTTTGATAATGGTCGTTGCAATTGAATGTAGTATTCTAAATCCAGGGTATGTGCAACTCACAGTGCCTTTCACTCTTAATATACCCGTGAACTTGGGTTGGATACATTCTTTATCTCAACTGTGAATTGCTCTTATATATATATAAGGTAATTTTGATCAATAAAGATAGTATTTTTAATGAAAATTCAAACTATGTTTCACTATATTACGTGAAAATTCAAACTTTGTTTCACTATATTACATGACAATAAACTCTATATATGAATAGAGTAATTTGGAAATTCATTTCATTGTTTTGTTAAACAGTTTTTTTTTTCCCACTTGAATCCAAAAGGAGTTTAGAATTTAGATAGCCGTATCAGTACATGTCCTCCTCGATCTGAGACTGATTTTTTTTTATTTTATATAATATCTCAAAATTAATAGTTGAAGACTAATTTATATTAATAAATTAAAAGTTAACTCCTATTATCTAAATATTATTTTAATATAAATAAAAATCGAATCTGAAAATATCAAATCAACTTCCTTAACTCCCAAGACTATGTTAGATTGTATAAATTATCTCAAACTATTTTGTAACGTATATGGATGGTGATTTTATATTACATTTCATATCTTCTTAGGCAATTTTAAAGGTTATTAAAATTATGTATGTGTATATATATATATATATATATATATATATAA